CAGTTGCAATATACATTTTATTTTAAGTTAAAACCTATTAGGACATCCTAAAATGACTTTTTTCGTTTGATATGAGATTAATTATTCTACATTTTTGTTGGTGAAATAGGATATATTAAGATGTCTGTTTTCTCTGATTGTCTTAAAAGTTAGAACAATATACAAAGACTGTTATAACAAAAAAGAGATATACCTTTACTTAAACATAAAATTAGTCAGTTCAATTGTACAATAATTTAAAGCATAAATCCAGAAAACTTTAAAAATGTGTTTTTACTATAACAAGGACATAATTATTAAAAAAACTTGGCACATTAACTTTGACGATAGGTTTTTATAATATATATTATACAAATCACAACGAACTACACAAAACGACATTATTAATAATTTAGCAATAAAAAAGTTAAGTACAATGATGACATTAAAAGTTGAGTTTCTCAAAATACTTTTTTTAAATTGTCTCAGTACCTACCTAGTATTTTTCTAGCACAATGATATTATATGAATGTGCATTGTGTGATATCTTATATTTTAGGAATAAAATGATATATTTTTTGCAGGTTTTTGTTAACAACGATTCCAAGAACTTTTGAATATATTATTAAAACGGCCTTTGCAAATATAATTCTCAATTAAGAGCTTTTGATCTAACATTAAATTTTTGTTCTCCATTAGGTTACAGCTTCCTAAGAAGAAAATTTAACAAGACTTACCAGACTCAAAATATCAAAATTTTACCAATCAATTGATGGTACTAGTTTCCATAGGAAAATTCTCCTCGAAACTACTAAAAGAAAAGTGGCAGAGGCAACCGATGAAGGCAAAAAAGTCTTTTGCAAAACAAAAACTAGAAATTTGTTTAAGAATCTAATTATTGTTTGAAGTTTTACCATTAATAATTTTTGATAACGATTTAAGATTAATAAGTTTTATTATGTATTTTACTCTTTGATAACCTATGTTTAAATTTTTATTAGGACCAAAATAAATTATAATTTTCATTTCAACTACAAAAACCCTCATAAATATTAAAAAGAGGAAGAAACGTTAGATTAGTTATGTTCAGGAATAAACTCTTTAAACATATATCTACTTAAAATGTGTTACTTTTAGAAGGTATGTTATTAACTTTCCATTTGTACTTGTATTAATTTATTTCATTCCACTATCTGTTGTATTTTCAAATTGATTTTGATATTAATCTTATCTATTTATATATTTCTTATATTCCCATATATGTTTTTTTTCATTGAAACAAACGTTTATTAGCTTATTAAATATAATGAATTCATATTGTTTTATTATATGCTTGTATGAATGATTACTTTTATTTCCTTTTAAAAATGAATTTCGAAGATAAAGCCGAAACGGTGCCGGTGAGAGAGAATAAAAAATTAGACGAAAGTGACGATATTTACTGGAGCTTTCATCTACACCTGAGCCAGCAAGATTCGTCTTCCCTTCATCCTTACATTCTCCAGATTTACAGAGAAAACGCCGTCCTCTTTAACATATCTAGACCTTCTTTGACGGGGACTATACCACTACATTATCAGCTTTATTTGTTATCCCGAGCAATTTAAATGCATTCGTAATTGCTCATTCTCATCTCTTGTAGATTCCGTACTCAGTTTTCTTATTTTTAGTTACGTTTGCACTGCTCTTTTATTTTCATAGCTTTAATTCTATAATGCTGTAACGCTACAATATGGATCCATTTTTGTGGTTTATACTATTTAATGTTATTCGTAAGTGACCAACCTATTATAATAATTAAAGATTATTGTATACAGGCCTGAAGATGTTTCTGTAAGGCCGAAACTAGTCGCTACTGTATTTATTTATAATAAAATTGATTTTAAGGTTTTATTCTTCAATTGAAAAAATTAGACCGTTACAGTGATTTTGTTTCATTTCCTGCATTAGACACATATAAGACGGTATTCTTTTTAAGTATAGTATAATTAGCAAATTTTTTAGTTTTTTTTACAATTAAAACGTTTGGACAATGTACGTTTTTATAGATAAATGATACGCCACTGAACAAGAAGGATGTTTACCTTCCCCCTTGTGCCCGCTTCCTGACTTCCTCTACAGATGTTGCTAACACAACAATCGCCTACAAACTCGTTTTCACGCTCCCTCTATTAGTAATTGCTCGGAGGTCGGACCTCTCTCTTGCCTCGTATAGTAATCAAAGTATGTGGATAAGTCCCATCGTGACACATGGTGGAAATTTCCAGTAATCACTCGCGGTTAGTCGCCGGCGTAGATGGCGTTACTTTATGACTTTTTATTCTCACACAACCTCCATGTGACGCTTATGAACGCAATAGAAAAATCGTTCCTGCTGATTTAATTTGGCCACAAAACACCTTGTATTTGTACCAAGTTTTATCTTTTAAAATGGCTGAATTCTGGAGATTAATAAAAACAAACAAATATTTTTATTTAAATTTTTTGACCTCCAGTGGCTAAACGAAGCAAGCTCCTATATATGTAAGTTTGGTTAAATCAACATATTTTGAGCCTCTAAATCAGTGGTAGATCTATGTACACGCAATTTCCGGATAGCCCGAATGGGATAAAATATGGTTCAAAACAGCAAGTGAATGTTGGTCTTCTCTTAATACAAAATTAGTTATTTATGAGTAACTCTAATGCTTTAAGTTTAATTTATGACCAATTGTATTACATAAATAGTAAAATAGTTTTTGTTTTTAATTGTTTCAAACGTTTATAAAACATAAAAACAGAAAATCCTCTAATAACATATTATCACTATACAATTTAATTATCTAATTTTTTAAGTTTGATTTTTAATTTGACTTGTTACCAAATATTAAAGCCATTAAAAATGAAAAATAAGATCTGTCGACCTAATCTAAGTAATTAATGTATAAAAAAGCACCTGGTTCCTCTGTTTAACCTCTAGTTATTATCCGTTTTAAAGTATGTTAAAAATATATTTTTTTTTTCAATTATATTGTACGTAAAATTACACTTCCCCAATAAATTAACGCACCATCAAAAAATAACAAAAAGTTTAAAGTAAATATTTGTCAAAACCACTTGTCTGATTTGGACGATTTTTTTTTAAATGAAAGGTTGTCTAACTGTCGGGTGCTAACTGTGTTTGTATAAAACCCTCTTTTTTATTAATACAGGGTGTATCAATTATAACGTGATTTTTTCATAAAAGTTGTAACACCCTGTAGAGTGCAATAGTTACATTACCAAGGTAGAATTGATCTCACAATGTAGCCTTATCTTTTCTTAACAATTCCTTTTCTTATTTACTCGATTATCTTTGTCATTATTCGAGAAACATTATTTTATAACATAACATGATTTTATTAAAAATTAATATCAAAATTTAACAATGAAAACACGAAACAAAATGTAACGAAATAAGTGTCAGTAGCGAGTATTTCCGCCTCTGGCACGAATAACTTCTTGGTGGCCCATACTTAAAATAAGAGACCTTAGGTCATTTTGGTCCAATTCTTCCCATATTTGAATCAGTCTCTGCCGTATATCTTCCAGAGAGTTCAGATTACGTTCCTCTTGTAATCTCCTCCCAAGAGTATCCCAGAGATTTTCTATCGGATTTAAATCCGGGCTACGAGCTGGCCATGCCATGGTAGCGATACCGACTTCCTCTAGATAATTTCTCACAACTCGAGCAACATAAGGCCTGGCATGATCTTGCATCAACAAAAATCCTTGCCCTATATATGGTGCAAATGGAACTACATGTTCGTCTAAAATCTCCAATATGTACCTGTCAGCTGTAAGGCTTCCATATAAGATTACAAGTTCTGTGCGACCAGTCAAAGAAATGCCTCCCCAGACCATCAGAGATCCTCCTCCAAATAATGTTGTATGTGAGAAATTACACTGAGCATACCGTTCATTAGGGCGTCGGTATACGCGCATACTCCTGTCATTGTTATACAGACAAAATCGAGACTCATTAGTAAATAATACCTGTTGCTATTGAGCCTCTAACCAGTTACGATGCTCTCTGGAAAAATTTAGCCTTGCTCTGCGATGAACTCTAGTTAGAACTGGACCTCGAGCAGCTATTCTAGGCCTCAAATTATGTTCCCTTAGTCGCTGACGAACAGTTTCTGTACAAACTTCTAAACCATTAGTATCCCGAAGCTGGGTTTGAAGGATCCGAGCTGTTACAAAACGTTTTCTTAATGCTGACAGTCTTAAAAATCGATCCTGAATCGAAGTAGTTACTCGGCTTCTTCCTTGTCCCGGCCTACGACCATGATTTCCAGTCTCTCTATATCTTTGTATAACTCGTGAAACGGTTGTGTGGGTTACGTCAAATCGTTCACCAATTCTTCGGTAACTCCAACCCTCTTCAAACAATATTAAAGCACATTCTTCGCGAGTAAGATTTCGTGGCATATTGTTTAATAATTTTTTTTTGCAAAAAATGGCGAATGGACTAAATACTGACAATACGCATCTGTATTTGACAATTACTGGTTTTTCCATAGCATGCTACTTACTTTAAAGCTTATAAAGCTAATGCAAATTAATAAAGTCATGTTAAGTTATAAAATTGAGTTTCTCGTGTAATAGGAAACATAATGGAGTAAATAAAAAATGAAATTGTTAAGATAAGATAAGGCTAAATTGTGATATCAATGCGAACTTGGTAATGTAACTATTGCGCTCTACAGGGTGTTACAACTTTTATGAAAAAATCACACTATAATTGCTACACCCTGTATTAATAAAAAAAAGGATTTTATGCAAACACAGTTAGCAAACCGACGTTGTGAAAGAGGCAACCTGTTATTTAAAAAAAAATCGTCCAAAACAGACAAGTGGTTTTGACAAATATTTACTTTAAACTTTTTGTTATTTTTCGATGGTGCGGTTATTTATTAGGGAAGTGTATTTTAAGGCATGAGTTTGGACTAGTTTAAAAAAAAATATTTACCTAAATTCAATAGTTTAAGTGGTTCACTTACCTAAGGCGACTCTAGCACTGGTAGCTTCGTGGTTGATCCAAAATGATACCCACGACAACATTACGATGAGTATACTAGGTAAATATGTTTGAAAAATAAAATAACCAATATTCCTCTGGAGTTTAAAAGACAACGATAATCTTTGATAAGTTCCAGTAGCCAATCTTTCTTTTCTGTCGTTGGTCTCCCAGCCCATGATGGTGAATTGAGGTAGTTCGGCTTCTTCAACTCCTCGGACGGGTGTCGATTTCCAATACATAACTACATCTACTACTGTATAACCATCTGTAAACAAATATCAAATATCAAAAAATTCATCCTCAAGAATAATATATTAAGTGGTGCGATTAATATTAACACATTTTTTTAAATAAGGTCTCGAATGTCAGTCTTAACGACGAAAATATAACGAATGCGAAGCACGAGTTGTATTTTCTAAAGATTGGAACTGTCATGAGTTGAAATTAAATAACAAAATATTTCAGCATCACACAAAATTATATTTACAGTGATGATAATAACAATAACTAAAGAAGTTTGTTTCGCAGTCATAGTAATTGATGTATCACAGTGATAATACAACACTATGGAATAATTGTTAACAAAAATAGTTATAAACAAAAATAAATATTAACAAAAAAATTGAGTCAACTTGATTGGTTGAAAGCAAGCAGCGTCACGTGACTTATATTCTTATTATTATACGTATATGAGTGATTTGCTCTGCTTTATTACAGAAACCACCCATGATTATCATTGATACACCTGATGTCATGGGTTTGGGTCTCACAGACGCTTCAAATGCTTCCCTTCCTTCACATAGACGTTGAGTGAGAGGCTAGATAAGCATATTAGAGAATCGAACAGTTAGAGCATTGGCTAAGCAAACATTATAATGAAAGTTTGGTAGAAATTGATAGGTTGGTTGAATAAAAAATATTGAATTCGAATTTTGTGCACTGCGTTTTGCACAAGTATTCCAGGGGTTTTCATGCCAAAGTATTCACTATATCTGCCAAATACGGATTTTTTTTATAGAATATCGTCCTAAATCATTATATGTTAGAATATGAAGTGCTGGTATGTTTCATAATCACTCCATAACATCTCATATTTAGACATATTAACATTGGTGGAAAATTAGTTGGGAAGACTAAATAATAAAGGGTATAAATAAGATGGGGATTGATAAATGGAGAGAGAAGATCATAAATAGGAATAAATGTAGAAAACTAAAGCCGCAATAAAACACAAAATCTAGGAGAAGTATGGCAGAGTAACTCAGTGCTACACCAAATAATTAAAAGTGCTTTAAGAGTGAATAAAATTCCGCAAATAATGTACAGCAACACATAATAATAACAACTGAAAATTCAAAAAACTGAAAACATTACCAAAAGGGGCTCGAGCAATGTTGCACAATCTGACCCACTGTCTAAATGTAATAATACAGGATATATAGAGATACTGTCCATTAGCTCTATGACGCAAAGCAATATCTAAGCAATTAATTGGTCGAGTTTTCAGAAATTGGTAATAAAATGATATTTACCCATTTATTTCATCCCCTAGTTTGATACATCAATGTTTAATTTATACATAATTAAATGCAAAATTGCACTATATGTAGTAGAAGTGCAGTAGTTTTCATTAATGCTTTATAGAAAATTGTACAAAGAAAACCATCTATATATTTAGTGCATCCCAGTAGCATCTGGACAGGCCATGGATATCGTTTCAAATACCTGAAACAATTAGCTTAAGAGGTTTCAACTATACAGAGAATATGATGAAGATATTACTAAACCACAATTAATTACTATATGATATATTTTTCATGTAGAAAACCTGAATGGCTTAATAGCGGTGGGGATAAATATAAAAATATTAATTATGTACTCCTTACTTTTGATTTCTTATAATAGCCTATCCTGTAAACAAATTCTGATAGGCCCCAGAATGCTAACTAATGCGGGGCCCATTATGACAGACAGTCAAGCACTTTATAGGGTAAAAGTACAATCCACAGTAATATTGGACTGTCAACAGTACCTCTAGGCCCTGGGTAACTCTTGAATGGGTGCCGGGAAATGAGAGAGGGTTGGGAAATGAGAAAGCAGACCTCTAGCCAGGAAGGGATCTTAACTGGACCAGAACTCACATTTATATTTCATATCCAGATGTTAAAGGGGTGCTAATGGTACAGGTGCATAGAGAATGCCATAAGCTCAGGGTAAAACTTTCTGGACTAAGGTGGTCCAGAATATGCATAGAAGGTCTTTCCAAAGAGAAGAAAACCTTACCTGCAACTCGAAGAAATCCTTAAAGTTCTCTTTACCTTCAAATATATTTTTTACCATATAACCTTATGGAGAATGAATCGAGAGAATACAAAACGCTTAAAGTTTCAGACGAGTGGACTTTAAATTCCCTAATTTAGATAGATATATAAGTGTGGTAAGAATAACTATAAAAATATTAATTCTGCACTCCCTTACTTTTGACTACTAATGAACAAATTCTGAGAGGTGCCAAAATCAATATAAAAATTGCAGCGACCATCAAGTATATTTAAATAATAACAATATATTTTAATTAAGCCATGCCTAATTTTTATAAATTGGTATTGGTCAATTAATTTTTCAATCTTTTAAATGTGTATATATAAGTTGATGTTGCCATCATTTTCGGGACATCATTTTAAAAATATTCCCCTAGTTACTACACAAGTTTGACCAATATTACTAAACTATTTCTATAACCACCAAATGTCCAAGATTAGACCCTATGTATTGTAAAATTTGTAATAACTTCAAATAATTTAGATTATTGGCATATACAAATCTAAAACAAAACACGGCAAGGTTAGAATTCCAGACACGTTTTGGAAAATCATCTCAAATCTTGGAATTCCTTATCTTAAATTGTAATTACTTACAACTTTCTATTTCTACGGTGCAATTTTGCGAATCCAGCGGGTAATAGTGCAGATCCATCATGCAGGCCAAAGTTGTTGTGAACCTCATCCCGTAAACTATGAATCCATCACCATTTAGCCTCACGAGTTTATTCCTTTCAGTCACGTCATGTAGGAAACTGGAACAAAGGTCATAATCAGTAGCGCATCAGACTGGCATACCAAACTAAGCTAAGGAAGGTTTAATAATGAAAATAGGACCAAACGAGTTGGCTTAGTCTATAAGTTCTTGCAGTAAGAACAGACAAAGTCTTCAACAATATCCATATCCATGTGACTAAATTTATGTTATTAGTTTGCTAAATGTAACATTAATAACTTCAGTAGTAACCCTAAAATAATGTAACTGACTAATTAGACATGCATAATTAGTATTTAAGTTGTCATAAAAGTTACTAAGAACGGTTATTTTTATTAAATGTCTTGTCTTACCAGATCACGAGGAATACGGGCATTGTAAAATACTCGTTAGAAAATATAAAAGTAATGTAAACATTCGGAAAAAATATATTTACAAGAAAGAAATAAAGAAAATTATACTAGATAGACGATATAAAAATCGAAAAAAAACTGAAATTATGTCAGATAGGACGTTTCAGCTTAGCATACATAATAATAGCCAAATTTTAGTTTATGTTGATTTTTTTAAAAAATCGGGGTTTTTTATAGCCATTGATAATTTTAAATCAGCTCGCCTTCTGGTGTCATTTCCTTTTTTTTTACTAGGCCCGTCTGACTTAGTCTCCGATAACGCTAAAGACTAATGGCTTATTGTATTTAACCCACTCTGTCACAATTGTCCCTTGTAGTCCCTCATCTGACTACAAAATGTAGTACATCGTGTTTTTTTGTTTGATATTTGTAGTTGGGTGCAGAAGAGTAAACAGCATGTACTATGTCATGGGGTAATTAACGTATGTGATATTATCATCCAACCTTTCTTGGTGTATGTATTTTAGCATTTTGTTTTTTTTACATTTTGTTTTAATTTTATTTAGGTAGATACCCTTTATTACATCATAAGTTAGTTTTCTGTTTTGTATATTATGTAAAACTATTTATTTCCATTTCAGTCTCCTTGTTCATGTAATTTTATGTACAAATGAACAATAAACATTATTATTATTATTATTACTATGTCATGGTCGTGGGAGATATCGTTTAACCAGTCAAATTCAAAGAAAAGTTGCTTTATTTTTTATTGGCAATGAAATAATATGCTTCTAGACTTCTATAACAATAGAAAAATATCTTTGCATGCATTTTCTGTCATCTGGTTTTCCAATTTCCGGTGTAGGGATTTCGGCCACGTGAACGGATATTTGTATGTTTCAAATAAATTCGACATATAGCTTAAATTCGATTTTTCTGAACTTAAGATGATATTGCAAGCATTTTTGTGTTAGCAAAAGGGTTGATATGCAAAAAATTGTGGCCTTGAAATAGGTGTTAAATGGGAACCAAATCTCAAAAAGTGGTTTAATTGCTCTCAAAATTTGTATGACACTTAACTAAGAGTATTGGCTTGTAAGCATTTTTTATTCAGTAGTTTTACCCCATTCACCATAAATTAAACTATTTTAACACGTTTTTCACGATAGTTCAGGGTGAATAAGAGGATGAATGGGGTAAAACTGCAAAATAAAAAATTACCAAAGAACAAGATTTTTAGTTGATAGTAGTACAAACATTTTGGGAGCCATAAAACCTTTTTTACATAATTCAACCTATTCACCCCGGAAGAATATGAAATAGTCTAATTTATTTGACGAATAAGCTAGAACTACTGAATAAAAATGCTTGCCAGAGCAACAGGTAAGAGTCGTACAAACATCTTGAAAGGAATTAAACCGTTTTTCGACTAGATTCCGAATTTACACCTATTTTAAAGTTACAATTTGTTTTTACACATCAACTATCCCGGCTTAAGTTCAGAAAAACCGCATGTAAGCTCTATCCCGGATTTCGTTGAAAAACACAAATATCCGGCCACAAAAGGCCGAAATACCTGCACCGGAAGTAGCAAAACCGGATCACCGAAAATGCTTGAAAAGGGATTTTTTTATTGTTGTAGGAGCATATTATTTCATTGCCAGCAACAAACGAAAAAAATCTATCAATAAGTAACTTCACTTTGAATTTGACAGGTTACACGACAGCTTTCACTACCGGGATATAGTATATATTCTTCACCTCCCTCCATTGTACTCAACTACAAAGAGCAAGCAAAAAACAAAACATGACACTTTTTCAGATGAGGCACTTTTTATAAGATTGTACAAGTTCCTGACAGGGTATATTCTATAGGTCCTTGGATCAACCTAGGTTGATTGTACAACAGTAGGTTTCCATTATACACCCCCATTTTGTTCAGGTGTTCCCGAGGGTGTTTCTGTACTGGGGCATGTCTAGTAAGGTGCATGTCTAGTAAAGGGCATGTTACTGTTTCCAACTGTTTCCTATTCATAGAAAAGTCTTTTTGAACATGGTCTTTCTATAAAGGTTTTCACATTTGCTTGTTTTGGGATATTCTCCCAATAGTTGTATATTTTTCGAACCCAGTCTTTTATAAAACTTCGAAGTGTACTTTTTGCTACTCCAAGGTTTATATTTGGTTCTGGTATTTCTTCTGACTCTCTTTTTGCAAGTTTGTCGGCCTTTTGATTGCTCTCAGTCCCTTGATGACATAGCACCCCAACTCTATTTCGGTCTTCTGGTATTCTCAGCTCTTCGATGCAATCCTATACCAGCCTCGATGTCACTTTCTGATTTTATATAGCCCTAAGGTTCGCTTGGCTATCTGGCATAATCTCGATCTGCTTATTTTCGATAGCTCTTCTATTTTTTGTTCATGTATATTGCAAGATTGCATATACCTCAGCCTGAAATACTAAGTCATGTCTTTCTATTGCATGGCTTATGTTAATGTTAGGGTTTTTGGAGAATACTCCAGCCGCAGTGTATTTGATCTGTCTTTGTACCAGCTTTGTTCCTGTCGTTGTGCCATTTACTTAGAACGACAACATACCTTTATGATCTTTTCATCTAACTATAAAAGTGCATGTCTGGAGATAATTAATGATGAATGGTTCAATATTTTTGATTTGTAGTTTAAACGAATACATATGTATTAAACAATCAATAATTTATATACAAATCTTAAATCTCAAAACTTTTAAATTTCTATTTTTCCAATTTACCTGTTTTTGTCGTTAGCAAAAAATGTATCTGGAACCCAAATTTTCTCTGCAAAATCCCCAGAAAGCGTTAGAATTTCGTCATCGCTGCTGAAAGCTAGCCTTTCGTCCTTCCAATACTGATTTAAATAAAGAGTTATGGTGTAGTCCTAAAAAAATATTATTTTTTATTTTGCATGTTATCTACTCATTAAATAAAAAATTCAAGATATCAGTCATTTAATTTGATTTAAAAAGATATGAAAAAGTAATTTGCTCACCATGTTCACTTCGGAAATAGCATCAAAACTAGCTATTGTTAAATCCATTCCCACAAGTAAGGGTTCGCCTGAAATAATAAAAGAAATATTAGAAGCTATTATGTTTTGGCAAATTTCATTAAGGATACGAATGGAAGATTAATGTAAGCGTTTTTAAAGAGAAATTCCCTGTGCTTAAAAATATAATTTCATCTGTTTCACTGTTTGTTGTTTTTCAGACTTTATAAATGGAAAAAAATATTTTTGAATAATTTTAGGATACTACTAACTGCTTCTTCAACAAGGGTATCCCACGTAAGGATGTATTAAGATCTCTTTAAACCCACTAAAGATTTTCCAAGTTTTCGAGAATTTAGTTATTCATTTCCATCATCACGGTAAGATCTTTGTGAGGTTTGTGAACGTCTAGATGTTGAACAATCATTAAATTAATTATTGATAAAATACAGTATAAAAACTCTAGTAAGTAGATATAGTGGAGCGCCTGGGGGTATTGACCTCGGACTTCTGCTGCAGTGAATAATTTTTTATGGTTGAAGTGGAATTTTGTTTTTTATACTTTAAATTGCAAAGTTTACCAAATTTTTTGTGCTTTTGATTTTTTAATTATTTAAACAAAAAATAATAAAAAAATAGTATTTGAGTAAGAAGTGTACTAGCAGACGGCATTATATGGATGTAATTTTACTAAAATAAAAATAATTTGCTTAAAAGAACGTTAAAAAAGAATCCAAAAAACTCGTTATCACCCACACATTCAGCTATTGAATGTACTGGTTTTCATTTAGTTATTTTAAATATTTTATTCGAAAATATTACTTTTTTTTAATACACCTATGTACCTGTAAATGACATATAAGAACCACTGCCTGACGTGTCAAATGGACGACAATAATTAAACAAAGAGGGAAAAATACTAATAAAATTAAAATTTATTAGTAAACATTGTTTAACACAAACATATTGTTACCCATCGCCCTACAGTATGCTACGGTCATTATAAGTAAAGGTGCGAGTAAAAGAAGAAGGGAGAATATTCTAGAAATGGTATTCCACGTCAAGAAACATCTGGAAGTTCGGGAGGTTCTAGAAGGTTAAATTGAGCTATTCGCTCCGAGCGAAGTCATGGAAACGGAAGCAAAAGCGATACTTTTAGGGCGATATTTTGTAATTTTGGCATATCAAATACACGTATACATTTTACTTTTTTTCAAAAAAGTGGGTAAAAACAATACAATAAGCAACCGGAGTTGCTGTATTGAAAATTGTACTTATACTAGCAAAAAAACGGTGAAACTTATATAAAAAATTTCAATAGCAAAGTGGAAATTACATCAAAGAAATAAATGGATCAATATTTTTGATACAATAAGATGAAAAGTTACCTTTATTTTTGTAATAATAACAGTAATGCTGGAAATAGTAGACATAAGTAACTTAAAAGGTTTTAAATAAACAATAAATTATCATTTTATGATGTTCTTTAATATTCCTTTATTCTTAATTGTTCATTCAGCAAGGACTAGATTTCAAGATTTCTGCCTTTGATTATTATATGTGACTGGAATGCAATTTTGTGACTTACTGATGGGAAACCAGTTTAAATCATTCATTCTGTTTTCTTTCGAACAAAAATGAAAATATAAATAACGATCCTTTTTTTATACATTTTAACTTCACGCTATTATTAAATGGTATTTTTTTATTTTGACAGAATAGGCTAATTCTTCAAAGACAACTTATTAGACTTAGGCAACTTCTCATACATTTTCCAGTAAATACTGTTGCCTGCCTATATTTTATTATTGATTTTTATTGATTATACATAATTTTCTTTAATTTAAGCGTTAAAAATATATAATAATAATAAATTAATGTTTTACTTGTTTTACAAATCCATATACTTTTATTAAAACATATATACTTTTTAATTACGAATATTCTAGTAAAAATTGTATTTGTCAGTATACGCCACATACTTAGAAAATCAAAGTATGTGGTATACGCAGAAATAGTCCATTAGTACCAAAACGAATTGGCTGTCGGGCACGGAGCGAATATAAGTCGGTGATCCTGACGTCAGTCAGTCAATTTTATTTTAGACGTTATACGTAAATTTTATTAGTTGAATTATTATTGTAAAAATTAAGTTGAAATAAATTGAGATAACAAAAACCAGAGTAACATTAAGATATAAAATAAAAGTTACCGAAGCATTCTAATCATGGTAAATACTAGATCCACTGCGCACGAAACAGATATGGATACTTCAGGCCCACCAACATGGTTTTTGAAGATGAAAGAGGAGAGAATAAAGCGAAAAGAGGTAAAGGAAAGGCGTAGGAAGGACAGAAGAGGTAAAGGAATGGCCAGAAGAGAAGGGAAGGCGCCAGAAGGACAAGGAAAAAGAGGAAGAGAGGCGTAGAGAAGCTGAGGTAGAAATTTTGAATGGTTTGGTGCAAATTCAAGAAAACTTCAGACAAGAGGTAGGTCAGCTGAACAGTCGAACAAATCTCTTAGTACAACAACAAGAGAATTTAAAAACTAATTTAAAACAACAAAAGGTAGGGTTAGAAAGGCAAACTAAAACTGAACTAGTTGAGTTAGACAGAAGAATTCGTAGCGTAGCTTTGGTAAGCAACCAGAGATAACAGGAGATATAATTACTAATAAATATCGTGCGGTCACAGGATGGTATAATATCCGCTGTTGTCATATATCTAGATCATTATTCTCGTTTTGTTTACAGAATTATTTACATATATTAAAAAAGCTAACATAACTGAACCTATTTTATTACAACTGAATCAAAAAATTTTGAATCATTAGTTATATCAAATTAGATATAATTTCACTAAATTAAATGTAATAATTTTCAATAAATTTCAGAATCTAGTAATGTTAAGTTGGAAGTGGTAACAGGATTTACACCGGCATGGATATCTACATTATTTGTTATGAGCGCACATCGCTTACACATTTATTCATTGATAAAATAAAGTTGTATCTACGTAAAATCCCTCTTTTTATCATCTCTCTTACTTCTGACCTTTCATCTCCTAACCGTGGACCTAAAAATGAAGCGTATTGATTGTCGAATTATTCTTGACATCGTGAATATTATATTTTATTAATGAATGGTTATATATCTGTTATCTCTGTAAGCAACAAAGAAACTGCAAACATTATTTCATCCTTATTTATAACTGAACCAAGCCATATTCAAAACACAGTTTCACAAAACCATACAAGCAAGACCATTAAGCCACCCACGTTTGACGGTCAGACAACATGGGAAACGTTTTGACTCCAATTTGAAGCTGCACTGGACTGAAAAAGAGATGGCGGCTTCATTGATAGTGTCGCTGCGAGGATAGGCAGCAACCATTTTACAGTTACTTCCCCAAGAATAACCCAATTATTCATATTTCGTCCAAACTTTGGAGACAAGATAGGGCCAGCAGCATTTGAAACAAATATTCCAAAGCCAGATAAAGGTTTGTACAAGAATTCGAGGTCGACATAAGAAGATTGATTCATCTGGCCTATCCACAGGTACTCAAAGATTTCCAAAAGAAACCGAAATACATTTATTGATGGACTACTGCAAGATGTGAAAATGCAACAAGCCCTTCGTCTACAACATCACAAGACACTGAGGGAGAAACTGATTACAGTCCAGGAATATGAAGCGGTAAAACTCCTATCCAGATCTTCTGGTAAGAGAAATTAAATCCCAGGAAAGTAAGGAGACCAATACTAATATTATTTCCCAACCAACCCTCACCCAAATCTTAAATATCCTGCAAAATATGCAACGAAATAGCCAAAATGGAAGCAGGAGATGCTTTAATTGCGGAAGAATCGGACACCTTTAAAGGACCTGCGTTCTCTAAATCAAGAATCAGGGAATGAGGATAGAAAGTCACATAGATCAGTCTTCCGAAGTTCGTCACGAAGTCCAACAAGAAATAATTACAGCAGTTATGCATCCCCGAGAAGACGATCACCCACACCTAGTCGGATTTCTAGCGATAACCAGATAGAAGAGCATCGTAGAGACTGTCTACATAGCAACGCAGACATTCTCTCAAGGCGACCCTGTTTAGAACAAGAATGCCGGTAAAATAAAGGGCTTGAAGAACGAGAGGAACTGGTTAATAAAGTTACTCTTTGAGCAACCACTATTAAGCCAGAGGTCAACGAAGAAGAAATCACTCTTGAAAGCCTGAGAAAGGGACAGAAGAGAGACAATGACTCGAAGGTTGTCCGAGAATGGCTCAAAAATAAAGTCACATCTACTTGGCAAGATATAGCCAAATACAGTGGAGCTATTAAAGGGTACTGGACTAAGTGGGATTCGCTGTATCTTCAGGATGGCCTATTGCACCGGAAGTGGGAGAGCCCCGATAAAGTACATGTAGCACGCCCAGTGGTACTGCCGAAATCACATGTCAGAAGTGTGTTGAAGGAGCTTCATAGCAGCCGTTAGGTAAAACATTTTGGTACTAAAAGAGCACTGCCACGAGTTCGGGAAATATTTTATTGGGCCAATTGCCGACGAGATATAGCAGACTAAAGAATGTCTGAAAGCCAACAGCGACAAAGCAGAAGCTAGAATCGAGCTCCGTGCCACCGGGACACAACAATATACCTCATACGGCTTTCAGCAGGAAGCAATCCCAAAGTAGTTCACATTGGGAAGTTAGCTTTAATTGAAAAAAATAGAAACCTAAGCCACTCCAAGTTAATTTAAAATTACAACAATAACAAATAAATAGCACAAACGAGAAGAGACTCTTAAAAGCGCATGTGCTGATAAATTGTACAAGTAATGAATCGCCTTAGATTAAAGAGACCGAAGATGTAACATTGCACACTGCGCATGCTGTCTATTTTAAGCCAAAGTAACCCACCAATTGAAAATCATTGTTGCACGACGCCACCCGAATTGCTCCGATTTCCATTCAGCGATCACACCTCCACCTGAGTTTAATCACCATTGACAGCTGTTTTTTGATTTATTTGTTGGTATTTTAGCAATTTAAAGTGTTCTAGTTATTCAATT